GTTTGTCATAATATCACCAACATTTTATTAGTTTTTGATACCTCCTAAAGAATAGGGTTTCATTTGGGGGGCGATTCACCCGCCCGCAGCCACCCGGGGGGCTCACCCCCCGCGGCCCCCCGTTGACTCCCCGCGAATATTTACGTGAGGAAAATATTATCTTTTTTGTAGTTTTTTTATTTGAGAAACTCAGTTTTTCTTGGAAAATACGTGATTATCCTTGAAAATTTTATCAAAATTCACACGCATTTAATTGCGGGGGGCCGCGGGGGGCCGCGGGTGGAAGCCCCCCGGGTGGGTGGCCCACATCTTCACCCGCCCAAATGGAAACCCTACTATAGAATTTAAGATAATTGAGCTTAAAGTGCACGTAAAGCGTGGCCTTGTATTAGAATTTTAGAGTTTTCAAACTAATCTGTTTTGATTCAATAAGATTCTAGTGAACAAAAACTTTTTAAGAATACCAAAAAGAAAACGAGTAAATATGTTTTTTCTTGTCTGGATAAGAGCTTGAAAAAAAACCAAAACACAAAAAATCCAGATTTTGAAAATAGTTAAATTCATATCTAGCGTTGGACTAGTCTCAAGCACTCCAGTTGATACTAAAAACGAAAAAGGAAAATAAAGGTTTCTCATGACAGAATGGAAGAAAACGGCGGATTTAATCACAGACACACGACATTATATGGCATTGCTCATAGCAACGGGCGTACACATACACACATCATTTCAGTAAGTCACGTTGGATAGAGGAAAGGCCAAAAAATCATATTCTGGTGAATGGGAGACGCAGGAAAATTGGATAAGCTAGACATGGATAACAAGAGGGATTTCGAAATATTTTCCAACTCGTGGAAATTTTTTTAGATCAGAAGTTTATTGAGAAAACGTATGACATCAAAGTGCAGATCAAAAAAGAGATTAGGTCAAAAGGTAATTTAGGTCAAAAACTAAAGGTTTTATAACTCTAACTATAAGTTCTTGAGCTAACAAGCCGTCAAGTGGAACCTGTGAATTATGAAGATGGTCCAGAAGATTCGACCCTAGCGACAAACAAAGATGAAGAAGAAGAACTTTTTGATTTTGGTTGAATTTTAATAAATTTGTCCATTAGTTGAGTCATTATCCAATTCAAATCATGTGCATGTAACCTAAATGAACTGTTTTATTTATAACTTCGAGTATCATTTTTAAGAAAGGCCGCAAATCGAAAAATATTTGGACTTCTTTATTTGGATGGGTATGAGATGAGCCACAAAAAATGCCGAGATGTACTTTTTCGGAAAAAAAGAACTTTCAGATAAGTACGACCGATTTTTCCAGCCACTAACGAAACCTCGCCGAGCTTATCAGTCGGCAGCCGCTTTCACGCCTGTGTGGCTTAGCCTGTAGCGGCGATGTAACCCTGATCGTCTTATAAGTTCAACTCCTCATGGGGGCTCCCTAGCCAAAATATCTAGGAAACTATTTTTTTTTTGAATGTCATGCTTCCTTCAAATTTTTTAAAGCATTCGAAACCTATTCATTTCGATTTTTTAGTAAAATTGATTTTGGAAAATATAATCTGACAGGTGAAAAAAATCAGTTTTTCTTCTTCGACAGCTCACCAATAATTTTTTTTGTTTTTTGAAATATAAAATTCGAAGGCATTTCTCTGAATGTCAAGTCTAACTTGCATCCCTTCAAACAGCTACTATTGCGCTACTGAATTCTTAACCCGAACGGTCCAAATGATAACTGCTGTATCATTTCCTATGCATGTTCTGGGGCTTTTTATAATCTTTTTAAGCACACCAAAAACCATGGACTCTGTGAAGTCATATATTTTACACTTGCATTTTTGGATCATGATTTATGATAATTCTCTGGGATTTTTAACAGTTCCTTTTTTGTTACTTCCAACCATGTCGGGGTACACACTAGGAGTTTTGTCATACTTTGGTGTCAACGAGTTTTTCATGGTGGTTCTGGTTCTGTTGGCGGTCAACAGTAAGTTGATAGGTGTTCTCGAATGTCCATGTAAGTTATTTTCAGATGTTCTGTTATCCAATCAAAGTATATTCAAAAACCGATATTTCATAATTTGCGCATTCCCTCCAAAACCAACCTGGGGAAAAATCAGAAAACCTTGGCTAGCAGACCATTACATTTTCGCTGTGATTTTATTCATCCCGATGGCTTTCTCACTTCCAGATCAAGAAAAAACCAAACAAAAAGTTCTAGAGGTAAAGTTTTTTTCCAAACTATAATGGTCCTTTAAAAAATAGAAAATAATTTTTACTTAAATAAAGGCCATTGGAATGTTTCCAGACATATTTTTACTTGGATCAACCGACGTTTTCAAGTACTTTCAGACTCTTACCAACGTTTCTGACTACGTGCACCAAGCGAAAATATACACTTTGACTGAGGACCACGCTATCATTTAGGAATAATGAGCACACTTTTTGCTTTTGGAATTATAGAAGCCTTCGTTTTTTGTACATACCTTGCAATGTACATTGCTAAAATCCTAAAGTCCAACAAGATATCCAAAATTACTCAAAAACTTCAAATCAAATTTCTATTATAATTGCTTTAGTTATCCAAATGTTGGCTCCGCTTCTTATGATGGTGATTCCATTATCTTATGATGTGGTTGTAATAGTTTTCAATTACCATAACCATTGGTTATTAACCAAGCTTACGCTAATATTGCGATTGCTATTCAAACGACACATGGTATTTTCTCAACGATGATTATTACAGGTGATAAAGAATCAAATTTCATCGTTCGAAGTTTACAAATTGTTTCTATAGAATGTCCATCAAGAAGCACATGAAAATGTCTCTATTTCCGGCGATCGACTTTTTTCTTTGAAAAAAAAATGCGTAAAAGGTGCAAAATTGAATTATGTTTACGGAAAGTAGTTAAACATACTTCTTGCCTTGAAAATTTTTCTCTAAAATTTGTTTCTCTAAAATTTGCTAACTTCCTCTTCTTCTTTCGCATGTCGAATCTAACCTGTATCCCTACTACTAGCTACTATGGAACTCCCGAATTCTTATCCCGAACGGTCCATATGATAACTGCTGTATCATTTCCTATACATATCCTGGGACTTTTTATAATCTTTTTCAAGACACCAAAAACCATGGACTCTGTGAAATGGTATATTTTACATCTGCATGTTTGGATCATGATTTATGATAATTCTCTGGGATTTTTAACAATCCCATTTTTGCTATTTCCAAGATTGTCGGGGTACACACTAGGGTTTTTATCATACTTTGGTGTCAACGAGTTTTTCATGGCGGTTCTGGTTCTGTTGGCGGTCATCAGTAAGTTGATAGGTGTTCTCGACTGTCCATGTAAGTTATTTTCAGATGTTCTGTTATCCAATCTAAGTATATTCGAAAACCGATATTTCATAATTTGCGCGTTCCCTCCAAAACCAACATGGGAAAAAATCAGAAAACCTTGGCTAGCAGCCCATTACATTTTCGCTGTGATTTTATTCATCCCGATGGCTTTCTCACTTCCAGATCAAGAAAAAACCAAACAAAAAGTTCTAGAGGTAATTTAACGGGATCTGTCTTAAAATAAAGTTTTTGTCAAGCTACAATGGTAATCTGGATAATTGAAGATTCTTTTGACTGAAATTAAATAACTGTTAAAAGTGAAAGTTTCTAAAACGCCATGCTTTCTATCTAAGGCTGGTATATCTTAAAAGGCTGGTATATCTTAAAATTTAAAATATTTTCAGACCCTTCCCTGTGTCTCTGACTACGTGCACCAAGCGAAAATATTCACTCTAGCTGAGGACTACACTTATACTGTAGGAGTACTGAGTACATTGCTTGCTTTTGGACTTATGGAAGCCACCATTTTTTGTACCCACCTTGAAGTCTACATTATAAAAAACCTGAAATCCAAAAGAATATCTAAAACTACTCTAAAACTCCAAATCAAATTTCTAGTCGCGTTGGTAATCCAAATGGTGGTTCCTTCTCTTATGCTGGTGATTCCATTGGCCTACTCGGCGGTTGTTATAATTTACGAATATTATAACCAAGCTTACATGAATGTAGTGATTGTTATCACAACGACGCATGGTCTTTTTTCAACATTGATTATGATTTTTGTACACCAACCGTATCGAATGGCATTGGTTCGAATGTTTTGCTCCAAGTTTTCAAGAAAGGACCGTATTGAGAGCGATTCGAGATTCCAACCAAACGGTGCTGCATTTACGGTGGCAACTTGAATTTTCTGCTCAGCAATAAATGTGTTTTGTAGCCTTTTTTGTGATGAAATTGCTTAAATAAAATTTTCTTAATTTTTTGAGAAGATTTTTTGGAAACAACTCTTCTGATTTTTACTCCGCTGCCTAAACCAAAAAATCAACAATCCTTTGAATATTGTACTCGTCTTCCGGTTAAGGTTGTTAAGTTCTTGGGCGAGCTCAATATTTTTTGACAAAGAGAATTATCAACATTGTGCAATGATAAAAGCTGGACTAACAGAAGAATTTACTGGTTGAACACTGAACAATTGGAATCAGGTACCAACCGAATATCCAGTGTATAATCAGCGTATAGCGAATAATGGTCAAGGTTACATTATAAGGGTGATCTGTGAATCTGAATTCTATCAATTCTAAGTGTGTTTAAGGTAATAGAAAATAGCAGGTAATTGACAGGTGGAACATCTCGTTTTTATTTTGAGCTGACTACGAGCCTCGAGACACCTGCTAACCATTCGGTTTTTGAAGATTTGACTCGATTTTTCAGTCGGAAATGTACGTATTGGACTTTTCTACACCTTCATGGCTTATTTCATACTTCCACACTATAAGCGTGATTTCTATAATCTTGAACACACTTGGAGTTTATCTTTTAATATTCCAATGTCAGAAACTCGGAAGCTTCAGATACTGGTTATTTACTTAAACTTCTTGAGTATTGCTAGAAACGCCAAAAAAGTTTAGCCACAGTGGGGGTCGAACCAGCATAGTTACTCCTAATGAGTCTCTTACCACAACACCACACAGCCGACATTTCGCTCTCACGCGGAGGGCGTGTAGAAGAGAGGGGAAAGCCACGCCGAAATCAGGCTCAAGTTTTCAGACGAAGATTTTCAGAGCCCCTCTGAAAACACTTCCTTTGTCAGTAATAAAAGAAGAAAAAGACAGGGAGATTTAATTTTAATTAAAAAAAAATGATTTTTGTCCTTCACATGCTTTCATTATTGCGGGTATAAATCATAAAGACATCATATGTCAGACCTAAAAAGTGTTTTAATGATTTTTTAGCGTATTAAAAAACACTCCTGAGAATAAAATACTGGCACTTCACCTGCCAAACCTCCGTTTTTCATTTCCGATCTTCAATAAAAAACTCTCATACGAGATGTACCTTATAGACTTTACGGAACCCGAATGGCTTATTTTCTACTATCATCTGATAGGCGGTGTTTCTGTTATCATGAACACCCTTGGGATCTATCTCTTGCTTTATCAATGCAATGCGATAGGAAGTTTCCGTTACTGGTTATTGGCTTATCAACTAATGTGTTTTGCCACAGATTTACAGTTCACTTTACTTATGCAACCCGTTCCTTTGTACCCAATAATCGCCGGTTATTCAATGGGAGTTTTATCAAAATGGTTTTCAATTCCTTCTGTTTCTCTAACATGTATTGTTTGTGGTCTTAGCATTTCGCAATTTTCAGTGTTGGCTAACACATTTTTACTGAAGCATCAATCAGTTTCGTCGATATCGAATTCATTTGTTATTCCAAAATTCGTGAATGGGATTATCTTTTTAGTGTTCGGAATTGTTCTTATTGCTTTTGAGATAGTGCTGTACTCAGCATGTTTTGATGAGAAAGATAAATGGATTTATATTGAACTGGTAGGGAAACGGATTTTATAGTATTCACTTTTTTCATTTTCAGAACTATCCTGAGTACATTCGTAGCTTCCAGCAATTACAGGAGTTTGAGGTCATGGACGGAGAAAAGATAATATTTATAGCAAAATTCCTCATAGGCTTTGGCTTCTTTGGATCAACTATTTTGCTTCTCGTGGTGATTGATATTTTCCAGAAATTGAAAGTATTGAAACTGAAGATTTCGCCCAAAAACTATCGGAAACATTCTGAAGCAATGAGATGTCTTCTGGTCCAATCTATCGCGGTTGGCATAGCCGCACTCCCTCTTTTATTATTTGGAATTTCATTGGCAGCGGAGAATATTGACGGTCAATTTTGGGCAGAAATCGGGATCGCTTGTTTTGCCACTCATTCATCATTGAATATGATTCTTCTTATGATATTTTTTCCACCGTATAGAAATTTTGTTAAGAAAAATATTAAAAGGCAAGGTGTCTTAGTTTAACGAGTTGCGCTATATAATATTTTTAGTCTGCAAAGGAATCCAATAAGAGTGCAAGATAATGCGTCCACCATTATATCCCATATTCCAAATGTCAGAACTTGAAATGTGGAACACGAACTCTTCAATCAAATTATCAAAAGTTTGAAATTATTCTGGTCCGTGGTAAGTAGCACCAAGCTGGAGATTAGAGTTAAGTATGTACAGTGGCGAGAAGTGGTGAGGAGATTTTTTTCGAACATTCATAACTTTGTTCATAATCGCTCAATTGACTTGAAATTTTGCATGAGAGTAGCTGTGAACTCCAAAAACATGAAAATCGGTTTTCTGAAAATTTCTCATTTTTAGAATTTTCAGAGCAGTTTCAGATGTAACAGTGGTCCGAGAATCCAAAAAAAACTTTTTTCAGAATTTTTTCTGGCTTTGATTTTGAATATCAAATGATTTTCAGTGTCCAAATATGCATAAAAAAAGTTTCGAAGGACTTTGGAAGTCGGGCTCTCGAGTTATGATTCTCAGAGCACAAAAGGTATGTCGGCATTTTTGCGATAACTCTACTGAACATGTATTTTTGATGCTCAAAATTTCACGAAAGATATGTTTTGAGTTTTTTATCAGTTTTATGTTTAAAGGAGGGCAGACAGCAAAAATTTCGGGGAAAATTTCAGGGAATGTGTATTTTGCCGTCGCGGTGTCAGCACCTAAAGCACGCAATCCCACGCGCAAACATTTTTATTTTTTTATTTCCCGACTTTATTTTTTTCAATTTTTAACGACTTCAAACATTAAAAAAGCTCTTTTTTCTTATTTATTATAAAACCCATATAAAAGTGAATTTTTAATGTAAATTTAAAGTTCTATCGACCGATTATTTTGCCAGTCGCCGGTGTTTTTTATAGGCATGCGAAAAAAACTATTTTCTCTTCGATAACCGTTTCTTCACTGTTCCTATTTATCTCATTACTTCTCGTTATTACTCTAGGAATAAAAACTGTTTTATGACTAGGGTTTTGAGAGACGTCTCCATTTTTACTGCTTCCTTAACCTTCCGACGACCAGCCCTGCACGAGGATTGTTTTAATTATGTGGTTTTTCTTTCAATTGTTATGTCTCTTTCTAAAAATTAATTGTAGTTTTTTTCATAATTTATTTGTTAACATAATAAAACACGTTTCTTCATTTTCAACTGATTTTGATACCTCGGAGCGAGGCCTCGGCGGCACGCTGGTAGCCCTTCAGAAATTCCGAGTTCAAAAAGTTCAATCCGAAGGAAACAAGGGAAGAAAAAAGTAAAAACACCAGCAGGGATTGAACCTCTGACCTCCTGAATACTAGCCTAGAGCGTACCCACTATACTACGCGTGTAAGAGGCGACCATCGCGTTTTTCACATTATGAAGCGACGCCGCAGCAGCAAGCTAGTGAAGAAATTAGGGTGACAAAAAAGAGCATTTTTTCGTCCTTGAAGTGTTTTTTTCAGGTTTTTAAGTACATAGCTATATTTATACTTCAGAGTTATATCTTTTGAGTAAAAATGAAAATTTTGAAATTTTTGATGTCTACCCTCCTTTAAGGTTTTTGAGAAAAAAAATTTTTCTACAATTGTAAAATTTTAAGCACCAAATTGATAAACAACTCAAAACACATTATTTGTGACATTTTGAGCATCAAAAATACATTTTCAGCTGAGTTATGGCAAAAAAGCCGACACATACCTTTTGTGCTCTGAGCATCATATCTGGAGAGCCCGACTTTCAAAATTGTTCAAAACTTTTTTGGTGCATATTTGGACACTGAGAATCATTTGACACTCAGAATTAAAGCCAGAAAAAATTCTGAAAAAAGTTTTTTTGGATTCTCGGACCACTGTAACATCTGAAACTGCTCTCAAAATTGCGAAGATGAGACATTTTCGAAAAACCGATTTTCATGTTTTTGGATTTTACAGCTACTCTCATGCAAAATTTCAAATCAATAGAGCGATTTTGAACAAAGTTATGAATGTTCGAAAAAATTCTCCTCACCACTTCTCGCCACTGTATGTACATGATTGCATTGCATTATTGATGGTTATTGACCAAGAAAGTTGTGTACCAAAGAATACCATCGAAAACGTACACAAAACGTACAAAAAATGTATTTTCTGATTCTATTACCCGATAAATAACATCGGCTGGAAATCCTTGGACTTTTGGTAACACGCAGCTACACTCTTTTCGTATACTATCGACCTGCGCATCTATCGCAAAAGATTACAATCTTTGTAAAAGTCCACCGAGAATCTTCGAAAGTTTGCAAATGGGTTCCCCATTCAAAAGGTGTTTTCCATTTGTGACCTGATTGTTTTAATTTTTTGGGCTTTACTATATTAAAGATCATGAACTTTTATATTTAATTGACTTTTGAAATCTAGAGTTTGTAAAATGAAAACATTTTAAGATCAAGAACTTCTAGGATCCTATTCTTCCAGGCTCTATGACAGGAGCGCCAGCAAGCATTCCAAAGTGTTTTTCTCAATTTGACCCTAAAACGATAATCTGTAAAATATGTGGCTACCCTGGTCATGGTGTTCATTTTGGAGTTATTACTTGTCGTGCTTGTGCGGCGTTTTTCAGAAGATTCGTTGTTATGAATCTTCAATATTCATGCGTCAAAAGTGAGGTCCGGTGTAGTTTGGATAGAATTCGAAGGTTCGGAAATTTCCAAAAAAAGAAAAGGTTTTTTGATTTCAGAAGTTCCTGTCGCCACTGTCGATTTCAAAAGTGTCTGCAGATGGGAATGAAAGCGGATAGTGAGTTTTTTGCTTTAAAAATGCAAAATCTACAGTAAGTGATGACCGGTCAAAGTATTTTTCGGGGCAAGAATCAAGAATTAGAATTTCGGACAGTTTAGAGGGAGAATTTCGGATAGTTTAGAGTGTGGACCCGAAAGGTTGAGATTAGAATATGTACTTGAAAATGCAGATTGGAATACCGTAACCTTTAACAGAACGACGCCCTGATTTTTAAATTTGAGTCAATTTATCTCGGTTCCTGTCAAATATATAAAAAGGTGTCAACTAAAAAATTGTTTGTCATTATATCAAGTGTTGTGTCAGTTGACACATTTTGGATATTTTGTATTAGAAGCGAGATAATTGAGTTCGAACTAGACAGTGTCGGGTCCTTCTACAAGTTTTAAGATGTTCTAATACTCAAAAAGTTTCAGAAGTCCAATGGAATCGAGATACCAATGCTCATTATACAGAAATAGACCAGCACGAGAAGAGGGAACTTTCATGGACATCTGAGCCGAGTATCAGTCAGTCAAATCAGTCGTTCAGCGAAACAGAGGTAGCTGGAAAAATTTCTTACTATGATGATCTCGATTTTTCGTTTCAGAGTCAAAATTCTATTCAAGAGGAAGTCTATAGAATTTTCAGTTTCAAAATTGAAAATCCTCATAGCTTGAAACCTCTCTTCAAGTTCACGGAAGGACTCAAAAGGATCCGTGAACATCAAAAAACGAATGATATAAAAATAGAATTTGAATTCTCTCTAGAATCTTTAGCTTTACATTGGAAGAAGCAAGCAAAAAACACAGCATATTTGATGACACATTCTTTGAATTTCCAAAACTTGGAGCTCTCCCAAAAAATGAAAAAATTCCGAAAGTGCTGGAAAAGTTTGTATAGGCTAGAGAGAATTCTAGTGTCCGTGGAAATTTTTGGGGATGACTGTGTGACGAAAAAGGTGAGAATACAATTTGAAAATGGAAATTTGATAGTTTAAAGGTGGGAGGGGGGGGGGGGGGGACAGGAGATTTTTCGTAGTTTTTTTGTAGCTAGAGTATGCATTCTACCGTCACGGTGTACAACGCTTAATGTCACTCTGCGTACAGCTGTCGTCCTCGCCTTTATGTATGCAATCGGGCGTGCGCTTTCTCTTTGCCCGCGTGGCTCAGTCGGTAGCGGCGCCGCACCCTCAATCATCGCCCTCACAAGTTCAACTCCTCGAGAGGCATCTTTGAACGGAATTTCGAGAACATTATTTTTTCATTTCCCCCCACTTTTAAATTTGAAAATATTGGCTCTGTCAGACGATCAAGCAGTTTGTATAAATAATTTTGCTCTATTCCATCAGGATCAAGCTTTTCTATCAGGGATACAGTAGTAGTTAAATCCGAAATCAAAATGTTCTTTTTCTTTGTCCAGATACTTCAAAAAGTACGCCAATAGACTACTCAACGAGGTTGCTAACCCTTTAATTCCCCTGAAATTGACTCTAGAAGAGAAATCGTTTCTAATTTTGACTTTTTTATGGACCCTTGGTAATTTTAAACTTTCCATGACTTATCTAAACAAATGTTTTTCCAGACAACTCAGCGAACGATTTCTTAGACGAGATATCAGATGAATTGCACGAATACTACCGTATGCATCGGGTTGAGAATTGTTCTCCTAGGGCTTTGAAGATGGTGAAAATCGTATGGGCTATGAAAAGGATTCATGAGGATGACGCTTGCGGAAATTTTGGGAAAACTTGAAAAAATAAAGCTATTACTATTGTTTATTCTAGTCAAAAAAAAAATATGTACAAATCTATGTGTTCAAAATATTATTCATATACACATCCAGTTGGCATCTCAACGACTTGATTCTCGGAATTTCTTGTGTTCACAATGAATCCACCTCCCAAGTCTTCATAGTGGATTTTCTTCATTGCAATAATAATGCTCATCATTTTGGCGACTCGTTGAGCATAATTGACAATCTCGTTGTCTTGATAGTATTTGTGAAGATCGTCAGCGATGTTGTCGCGGAACTCATCGCAGACTTCCAACGCTTCTCCTTTGATTGTGTCTTCTGAAATTTCGAGGTGTGCTAGATTTGGGGAAAGACGATTTTTAAGTTTGAATAATTATCGAATAACGCTCACGTAGGCTCTGTGGCCTTGGTTGTCAGGTCAGCTTATCTAAAACCACCAACTTTGACTCAATTTATCCGGTTACGGGAAAGAGATATCACAAATCTGTAAGCTGATAAAATGTTTATCAACTTATCAGCAACATTTCCTTACAGATAGTTGACAAAACTTTGATATCTTTCACAGAAATCGAGATAATTGAGCTCAAAGTGCGGAAGAGCATTTACGATAACCTTCAAAAGCCGCGGCTTACTTTTCCAGCTTTTTGAGGTCCTGATCCATTGTAGTAGTAGTAAAAGTACCTTTCTGGCGCAGCTTTTTGCCCACTTTTCGACCCTTTCTAAAACACCCCAAAACACAAAGAATCTTATCCAAATCACCCCAAATCAAACCAATATCGTCCAAATTTCAACACCCCAAAAACCCACCCCTCCAGACCCCTAAAACAGGACCGCCCATCCTGCCCACTTTTTTTCGACAAAATGTGACTTTTATTTTTTGGTGTTTTTGAGACAAAATATTTTTGTGAAGCCTTAAATTTTTAAAAAAATGAAAAATGGGATTTTAACAAAAGTAAAAAATGTGACTTTTGTTTTGAGGCGTTTTTTTGAGACAATGACCCACTTTCCCCATTTATTTCTCCAATTTTTTTCCGATTTTTTTTGTTCGCCCACTCGAAATTTTTTTCAATTTTTCTTGCATATTTCACACCTCATTAAGACGTCGACTGATAAGAGAGTCGTATTTCTTATCGTGTAGAAGTGCCTATTCTTTTTTAATTCTTTACCATTATTATGTTTTATTAAATGTTGTGCAAAGATTTGAAACCGTTAACAAATATAGATTTATTAAAATTGGCAACGGATTTACAAATTAAAAATTTTCGAGGAGTTTTTATGAGAGACACCCTTCCCGAGAAACCACAAAAAATAGAAGTGGGCATCATAAACCTCGACAGCTCAAACAATAAAGGTACTCATTGGGTTTGCTATAAAACCGACAAAACTGAATTGTTGTATTTCGATTCATTTGGTTTGGACCCTCCTACCGAAATAATAAAATATTTAAAACAGAATAAACAAAACGAAATAACAACTTCAACGTTTCAAATTCAAAAATTTAATACTCATCACTGTGGTTACTATTGTCTACTTTTATTAAAACTATTAGAAAAACATGATTTTAAACATTCTATTCTCACTCTGATCTAGGAGTTCTATAATGCTCGAAAGCTAGCGTATCAATATTACTAATTGCATATCTCTTCGATTCTTTATCCTTTCCAATCACATTATTCAATGCAACTTTATTTTGTTTTACACTATGGATTTGGTGCTGACTAGAACTTATAAGCATTTGTTGTCTTCTTTCAATTGTTCTATTTAATAAGCAATTCTTATAGTCATTGAAAGTCATCTCCTTTTTAACAATATTCTTCTTTACACCTTTATTTTTCTTAGTCTCAATTCCCTCATCAGTTTTAAAAGCATATTGCTTAGGTCTAAAAGCCACAATCTCAGTCATGATCTTACCATTCAACTCATCCTTGAATTTACCAATTACTTTTTTGTTTTCAACACTATGCAGCTTAGTGTCTTTCGGGTAATCAGAGAAATCAAAGTGTTCTCTCATAGATAACATATCTTCATACACATCATCGGTTTTAATTTCGTATATATAAGAATCGGTATCTTGATAGCAAAGTCTCAAGTTTGTAGAGTGCTTTGGAAGCATTACATCGTAGTGGAACTCGTACATAAGATATTTACTCAAATCTAGAATAGACATTCCCACATAAATAGGTTTATCTAATTTAATGTTTTTCTGAGTCATTTCAACCAATATCATATTCTCATTTATAATATGCCTCTGTTTGAAATTATTGCTACCAGCAAGCTTCATAACTTTATTCATATCTGATACCACCTTAACATCCACTCTATTTCTAACATTCTCCATAGTTTTACCAAATACAGAATTGTTCATGAGCTTGAAAAAGTCTTTCTCAAAATCATTTTTTGCATGTTTTCTTAAATTTGTATTCAAATCTATGTAAGAGGCTAGCCAATTTGTTTCTTTAAACGTTACTATACGATGAACTTTCTTTAAGACCAAACCATGCTCAAGCACTTGCTGAAGCATTTTGTAGTGTATTACATAATTTCTCTTTGGACTAAAGTCATTTATAAGCTTATTAGTAGAGCCAACTCGTTTATTCTCTGGGCAAAATGGAAGGTCATTATGTTTGTCATGTAGACTTACTGGATAATCTAAATCGACTTCTAGTATACATCCTTTGTCCTGTGCGTTAAGATTGTTTATCATTTCCAAACTAAACTCTGTGGAGTCTATAAACTCAAATTCATCGTATGGTAATTTTTGACTCATTGCCCATCCATAAAGATTATTAGCATCTAGATAAAGTAAGTATTTTGATTCCTCGTCGGGATTATAATTTGACATGTACTTATTGTTAGCCTTGGAATATCTCAACATAGCATTACACATACCTCCCCTGATACCTTTCTCAAGAAAATTATACATTTCAATATCTTTAATTGTTTGTAGCTTAACTCCAGTTTTCTTTAACATAGCATCCCAAGCCAATCCCGGAGAAGTGTGGTACCAACATGGATCTAACTTATATTCTTTGAGAGATACATTTCTGAAAGTTTCAAACACATCCGCTAATAGTAACACATCATTAATCATATAAATTCTAGTGTAGTCTTTTAAAGTTTTACAATTTGTTTCCTTCCATACTTTCTGAGCATATTTATAACTCTCTTCACTAATATTTTCACCAGATAGAGCATTGTAGAAACTTTCAATTGGGGGAAGTTCAGTATTAGAGTACTTTTCAAAGGAGTCCATGAAATCATATGGATATACACCTTTCTTTCTCAACAGTTTAAACTTATGTTCATTATAATATTTTTTAGTAATAACACATTCCTCATCTAATAAGTTATTACTTAAGTATTCTAAACTAGAAGGCATGAAGCCAATACTATCTAAAAATCTTATTTCATATTTCTTTGCATACAACTTTCCATCAATCTTAGATTCGAATTCTTCTCCCTCAAAGTGATAACTAAAGCTGAAAAATTTTTCTATGTTAGCTGGGATACAACTAAATTTAATATTTTTCTCCTCTAACATTTTACTAGATTTGTCATCACTAATAATTGAATGAGAATCGTATCCCTTTAGATTATGGAAAAATACTGGTATAAACCTATTCTTACGCTTAAGCAAGTTACATCCATTGCATAAAGCTCCTCTATATTCACCAGTCCAATGGTCATGATCTCTAACTTTCAACATGTTATTATTTTCTTTGATATCATTTTCAACTTCCTTTATATCTTTATTAGCTTCTCTCATATTTTTATTATTTTGTTTAATGATTTCATTTTGTTCTTTGATACTTTCATTAACCACTTTTAAATCCTCACGCTTTACTTTTAAAATTGCTTTATTATTTTTTATATCTTTATTAGCTTCTCTTATATTTTTATCAATCTCCTTGGAAACTGTCTTATTACTTTTAATGATTTCATTTTTTCTTTTGATAGTATCTATTTCATTTTTCATATTTCGTTTGAAATCAACCTTATCTGTTTTTTTCCCCATAAAATCAATTTGATCATACACTATTTCTTTCAAAGTATCTTCCTTATTCATTATTTTCTCAAGGTGTTTTTTGTTGTTTATATCCTTCTCAAAACCATCAATCATTGTCTCTCCACATCCATGACACGTCTTACAACTATTATATTCCTCCCATTGTTCTTCAGTCAAATCTATCATTTTCTTATCTGGTATGTTCAACAGTCTTTCACAAACATCTAAGATATATTCATTGAATTTTAAAATAGTATCATATCCAATATAGCTCTTCATATCGTAAATACTTTGAGTGAAAGAATCAACAACAATTACACAAAATCCAGAAGCTGCATGTTTGCCGATATTCTCACTCCAAGACTTGTTAGGAGAATTACTAACGCTATCAATTTTAGGAATAACAGATTCAAAATCTGCATAACATACATATCTATGTTTCTGGGTTTCCTGAATTCCTTCAAATTTAATATAATCTTTAGAAGGCTTAATCATTTGTATTGGAGCATTGCTCATACAGTCGCCTAAATGTCTTTTATATCTTTCCTCATTCGTGAAACAATTATGGCATCTAATACAAAACTTGTTTGAATTACCATTACCGGTGTTCATCAATCTATTTATATTTTTTATTAAGCAGTAATGTCCTTCTCCAGAGCTATCAGTGATAAGTAAAAGATTTATAGCTCTATTTAAATCTACTTTGATATTTTTAGAAACTTTATATGACTCTATTCTTTTCCCACGATCTTCAACGTTATAACTAACAATATTAACGGCTAGTTTATTTCTCCTCTCAAACTTATCTACATCTTTAACTTGGAATGGAAACTCAAAACCTTCAAAATTAATTTTAGGAACATGGTCTTCATATTTGTTTACTCTTTGAGCATCCTTTTCAACTGGAAACAAGTGTGCTAAAATACACCACATAAAACATTTATCATCTTTATTCTGAATATTAACTACTGCTTTCTTATTCTTTATCCAATCAGGAAGTTCGATATATTTTGATCCTGATAATGGCTTAATCTTAGTTTGAAACATTCTCAAGCCAATGATTCTATTCAGTCTAAAACCAGATCCTCTTCCTTGGTGGTGGTCCAACCTATTTACTAAATCAGATTTAATATTTTTCATGAAGTCAATTCTACTATCACCTTCATGCAAGACGGTGGTAGAAGTAGTCAAATGAGCTACTTGGATATCTTCTGTACCTTCTTTTATCATTTCACATTCTAAGGATACATATATTTTCACATTATTTTCAAAAATGTCGTTTATAATGTCAGTTTCCTTTTTATCTAAAAAGGATTCTATAGTTTTAGAATCTCCAATGTGAAAAGTATCTCTTAACGTATCACCAACTTCTTTGTACTCACTAAAAACGGTTTTATCAAAAGGAAATAGTTCCCTCATTTGGAAACTAGATTGCTTGTTTGCTTCTTCTTTATCATAGTTTTCAAGTATCTTACGCATTTCATCCACACTCATCTTTCTAACATCAACACTGCTCATTCCAGTTCTATTTCTAACTAGTCTACGTAGTTGATCCCTATTCAATTTTTTGTAATCAACTTGTTCCATTTAAATAGTTTAAAAAATAACATTTCAATCTCTCCTAAAATTTCAGTACTTTTATACACTTTTTCGCAATATTAATAATATTTTCTGTAATAAATGCACTCTGTGGTAGAAATTTATGACCCAAAACGACGTAATGAAATAGTAAACAACTTTTTGAAAAACAGAAAAGAACATAAAATGAAGAATTTACAAGAGAGAACCGACTTGGAACAGATGGAAGATCACAGGATAGACGTGTTTAAACCAATTCTAGAATCCAACAAAAAACTTCAAGAAGAGATAATTGATGAAAAGAACAAAATTGTAGAAACTTTGAACAACTTTAAACACCCTTCTCAACTTTCAATAGGTCCTGCAAGCACGTCAACACCAAAGACAAATCGTAAAAGCCTCATTAAGCAGCCCTCAGTAATATTACCACCATCTCTACCTAGTTCTTCTCAACCACATGTAGTAAGTAATCTAATTGCGGGCTATCTTCAAGATGGATCTGATAGAAGCAATGCTGGGTACTCGATCAAGTATAACAAAGATGAGAAAAAATATACCATAGGAAATAAATTCATCTCATTTGATCAAAATATTATCAAGGTTAATAATGATGAATACACAGCAACTGAAGGATTAATGGAACTTTTAATTAAAAAGTCTCCCAACTTGAAAAAAGTTAGTACAGAAGATACTAAAAACTACCAAACGATATTATTATGTTCTAATGGGTTGTATCAAGGGTTTGATAAAAATAGTAAAAGGTATAATGCAGATTCAAGTGAAAAGTGGGCGTTTATAAAGGCTAATTATTTCGTAACCAAGACCCCGACAGCGACATCAGGAAGTTCTCAAGGAAGTTCTATTACATTTATGCCATCAAATACTAATTCTTTAATTGACTCGTTGAGATTATCAATTGGGTCATATCAGGCTGGTAATAAAGATGAGTATAATAAAATTCATGCCATATTGGATGAGCTAGTAAAACAGAAAAAGATTAAGAAGAAAGACTTGGGAGTAATTTACTTGAATATTGGTATGTAGTTCGTATACTTTCTTATACTATTTTATGTGTTCATATACTATTTTATACATACCTATACATATTCTAATTTTTTTTCTATGTAAATGTCACAAAAATTGGTGTTAGCCAGAATGTACATTAGCGATCAAGATAAAACCCCTTTGAGGATCAATAAAAGAAAGTGGGTTAAACAACATAATTTTTCAACACAAACTCTATACGACGGCTTGTGGGCATTAGCAAAAGAAATGGACGTTAGTAGTTACATAGACAGAAAACCCCAAAATATTGCTGTAGATAATATACATTCGGGAGATTCAAGAGATTCGCGAGGTAGTCATTCGGGAGGCACTCAAGACTTAAAGTTGCATAAACCCTGTTCCAGAAGCAGTTCCACAAGTAGTTCCACAAGTAGTTCCACAAGTAGTTCCACAAGTAGTAGCATGAATAACTTGCACAGTAGTATGAGCAACTTGAGTGAATTGTATGAAGGATCTAGATTCGAAATGGTGGGACAAGAGAGTTGTACTAAAATTAATCTTCTCAAACCAGTGATCCAAAGATAAACTAGTGTTAAAAATTTTTTTGAAGCCATCCCCGGTTTGCCAAGTTTAATATTCCCATTCATATATATCTATTTTTTGATATGCAAAGAATATAATTACAATTCCTATAATTATTATTGCACTTGCCACAAGTATCATTGTGATTTGGGACGATGTTAATATTATCAAAAATAGCAAAACTATCACACTCAATATTATAAAAATTATAAAATATCTTAAATACATGTTATAACCTTTAACCTTGTTGGGTTTATTTAACACGGTTAGCGCCTGTTTGTTAATGACAATTAAATCATCCGGATTGTTAGGACATCCTCCTAAAATTGGTTCCATTGCTTGGATTGTTAGGTCTACTAATCGTCGTGCGACTGGACAAAGATGAGCTGGGTTGATATTACGAGTATTTTGTATCATGTGGTTTAATATGTTTATCTTTTTATCTAAAATAAGCCTTTCATGGCGATAGGGGCTGTAGTCTTCCTCGGATACAACGAAGTTGGTCTCTGGCACGGGTTCTTGTTTCACTTCGCAAAGTGGGCTCCAACATTGATTCACAGGGCTATCTTGTTTTCCTGAGTGAAAAAAGGTTGTTGTCTCTAAGGTTTTCATTTATTTTGGATGATTTTTGAAGATATCTATAGGTTAACTTTTTTCGCGAAGCTGGCTTCACCGTTACATTATGGTGAAGCAATATTTTTAATGGGACATTTATTTTAGGCTTTAGG